AATGCGTCGATCAGCGACCAGATCCAAGTCATACGCAAATGCCACCAGAAACGCTCCTGAGGGATCTTCACTTGAACAAACTGTCGGCGAAATGCGTCGTCTACGATCCATCCGGAATGAGCGTACCCTCTCAACTACTTACAAGAAGGCTAGAGCGTCTCGCATCATCGACGGGCCTGAAGGCCGTAGCGTACGACCTGGTTCATCGGGTGGCGAAGGATCAGACCCAAGGGGTCATGGTTTCCAGATTGTAGAAGAAAGAGATGCCAACGGGGAAACGGTCACCGAGCTGACGTTTGGCAACCAGGATGCATTGACGTTGGACGACATACCCAGAATCGTTGCTGCCGAGCAAGCTAAAGAGCAGCGTCCCAACGCCTACAAACACGCCGGCACCAAGCTGGTTGGTACCACTGAACCACTTCCCAAATACAATTATGGCCATCAGCGTGGCGTATCTGGTGCAGGTCTTGACCAGCACATTATCGAACAAGGTGGCAGGACTAAGAAGTATTTCTCTGAGCTTTCTGCTTTGGAATACTTTATTGTCCGGCACGTTGCTGTCTTGTCCATGGAGCCTTTGTTGAGTGAATATTTCACGCTAGAGGAGCTACTCTCCTTGATCGAATCACGAAAGCCTACCATATGGAACATCTTCGGCCGCGCCTTTAATAAAGAAGGCAAGAAGGTTGGGAAGAAGAAGGGCGTGTTCGGGGTAAACTTGGATTTCCTCGTTGAAAGAGAGGGCACTGAATCTAGTCACGGTGTGGGTCCAGGGCAGCTTCGCATTCCCGCCTTGGTCGACGACGCTGTGTCCGCCATGCGCCAAATGGATATGTCCGTGGAAGGTGTCTTCCGAAAGAACGGCAATATCAGGCGCTTGAAGGACATCTCTGAAATGATTGACAACAAATATGAACAGGTGGACATGACGAAGGAGAATCCTGTCCAGATTGCAGCGCTGTTGAAGAAGTTTCTTCGCGAGATGCCTGATCCTCTGCTTACATTCAAGCTCCATCGTCTATTTGTTGTTTCACAAAGTAAGTGACTGACGGTCCTGGTTGATATTGTAGCCTTCATTACTTACCACTGTATCACAGAACTACCCGACCCTGAGAAGCAAAAACGTGTATTGCATCTTACATGCTGCCTTCTTCCCAAGGCTCATCGGGATACTATGGAAGTACTTTTTGCTTTCCTTAACTGGACTTCATCTTTCTCGCACGTCGATGAAGAGTCCGGTAGTAAGATGGACATACACAATCTCGCGACAGTCATGACACCCAATATTCTCTACCCCAATGCGAAAAATAGCACGGTGGATGAGAGTTTCCTGGCAATTGAAGCCGTTAATTGCCTGATTACATACAACGATACCATGTGCGAGGTTTGTTCCCTTCGATCTCGAACGTTGTCTTCATATACTCATGGTTTCTGGACAGATACCCGAAGATCTACAGTCGGTCCTTAGCGACACAACTTTCTTCAAGGAAAACACCGAAGTCACAACAAAGGAAATACTTCGACGCTACGGCGACATCGCGCGCGGAAGCTTTTCTCCCAAGGCGAGCAATGGTGGCGAAACCGTTACAATTACGAACTCGAACCGCGCTGCCAATATCCCAACTTCTGCCCGTATTGAGACAGATCCCTCCCAGGACACGGCATGGCAGATGCAAAGCTCAGTTCGCCATGTCCAAAGCCCCGGTGGTCATCAGCACTCGACCAGTGGTACTCCACAAGCTGGCACAGAACTGGCCCCTACAGCCTCCAGTGACTATCGTGAGAGAAGCACCAGTAATGGCAGCCAGCAGAACCCTATGCAAGCCGAAGGACAGTCTCAGCCAATGCCATACAGGGCTCGTCCCGGTGCTGGGCCCATGGGAGTTGCTGGCTAGTTCTTCGCCATTTCATGCTCTTGATGCCAACCCGCCCGTTGCTTCTCTGCATACTTTCGAAGACATTTACCAATGCATTACCCGCCTCTACATCCTAGTGATAGCTCTTGGCGTATTCTTGGACCGTTCAGCGTTCTTTCGATTTAATAAGGTTGGATGGAGTTTGTTCTCCTTTTAAAATGAGATGATTTCCAGGGTTTAGTTAGATGATCGGCTGACAGCTTCTCCTGATGGATCGAGGCTTTTCTAATTGCTTTTCTGTTGCGCACTGACTGCGTGGAGTGCATTGCATTCGGTTGTGAGTCTCGACATGATTCACTCACTACCGCCTATAATTTGGATTTCAACCGCGCGCAAGTGGCCACAGGAGCCTCTGCCCGTTCGGGTTGGCTATTTCTGGGATCTGGGTGTTGTTTTCGATTCCTACTTTCCTGGCATTCTACTTGCATTAACAGTTAAGACCCAGCGTGGGCATTCTCTCCTGGCATCTTTCTTTCCTTTGCTCTTTGTTGTTCCTTACATCACTTGCGTCTTCCTGGCGTTGCGCCTCTCTTAACTTGCTACCGATCGAGATGTGAGACTATCGAGATCCTCTGTTTGCCCTTGATTTCCTTTGTCAGCCAGTCTGATGACTGCGAAGATACCTGTGCTGAGTCATACATTCAGTTCGTTTCTCTTTTTCTATTTTCTCTTCTTGCTTCACTTCTTCTACCCCCCCTATTTACATTCTACCCATACGACTTAACTTTTTTTTTTCTTCTCTTTTCTTCTGATATCCCGAATTGTTCGTGACTGGTTCTATCACATCCATGTCTACATGTGATGCTGTTTTCCTCGAGAACAGGAGGTGTAATTTACATACAATTGTGAAAGGAATGCCATAGTGCCAACTCTGTTAAGGTGCGCAAAGTTGTGTGCTGCTTGCTACTTGCTCCTTGTAAGCGGCCCATGTTTCGAGAACCAATGTAATCAGTATCCCGAAAAGTGAGATTTTGGAAAAAAAGATGTTTCTCCAGTGGGTATTTGTTGGTCTTTAATGCTAGCTGGCAACAATCTAAGCATGGTCATTACGGTGGATGCATAGTACTAAAACAGTTCATATAGAGAACCTTGTCCGCAATTGCTCCCAATTCTATTACACTACTTTGGTTATCAAGGATAGTATGTAGTACTGCTACTATAGCCCGTGAAGGCTGCTTTGCTCTGCTTACCATAGTTACGAGCAAGATCAATGAAGATAGAAATGTTTTGGATACTCGAAAGAAAACCACTTGGATTTCGGCGATAGTTAATCAATAAGCGGCAGAATCAAGAAAGAGAAACAGAATCACAATGCCAGCATGGTCAGAAAGGGACCTAATTGAGAAAAAGGGACGAGAAAAACTCCAATTGTACACCAGTTAATCCCTTCCATATTATGATACCGTCCTGAGATAATACACTCCTTTACTCCATGTCCCTCCAGATAAGGCAATGAATGAAACAAAACATGCTAACTTGAAAGGGGTTGATTTAACTTGAGGATACAGCGCTTACGCGCGTTTCCGAAGGACTCTACGAGCTGCAGTTGGAGCTGCATCACTACCGGCAGGAGTGGGAGCTCTCTTGCTGGTAGCGGAAGTTGTATTTCTCTTCGCGGTCGCGGAGGTTGCTTGGCTCCGGGCGACTGTTGTCTTCTTCGCGGTCGCGCTTGAAGTCGATGCTGTCGTTGCCTTCCGGGCACCGGCACCTGTCCTTGTTGGCTTGGCAACGGTTGTTCCGGACGATGCGGACGATGACACACTGCCTCTGCGTTCGAGCTGGCGAGTTGCTGGCCTTGGCAGTGGTGACCGTGTGGTTTTGCTAGTAGCTGTGGCGGCTCGGCTGGCGGGTCTCTTGGCCTGTGATGGGGGTCTGTTGTCCTTGATCGATGTGGAGGTGCTCTTGACTGGCCGGATGCGAGTGTTGTCTGCCAGTGAGGGAATGCTAGCGGATGTAGATTTGAGTGGGCTGGTGGGTTTCAAAGGCGACATGGGTCTTGCAAGGTAGGAAGAGTTCGTGGGCTTCTCGGGTGAGGCGCGTAGCGGCGAATGTGGATATGTTCTGGAGTTGGACGTCTTGGGAGAGAGAATTCTGTAGTCTGCACCCCTCATCTCCTGGGACACAACACGCGAAGTACCGGCAGCGGCACCAGGTCCACGTCTCTTGGGATTCTTGAGGACATCGAGCTGTTCGCCAGCTGCAGGGGCGTTTTCCTTGTCGGAATAGATCTCTCCGTGGCTGGATGGTCGAGTCAGCTAAGCTCAACAATACACAGTTGTGCATGTTCAGGCCGTACCTTTGCTTCTTGACTCTGCGGGCACTGGGGCTAGCAGCAGAGGCCTTGCGCACATTGGGGCTAACAGAAACGGTTCTAAAACTCCTTGACGCCTTGGCTGGGCTGAGGAGTTTCCGTGGAGAGAGATTCGCTTGTTGGGCCCGGATAGAGGCCATGTGTTTCTCCAGAAGCTCACCCATTGTCGCCTTACGAAGAGCAACGGGAATCCGATTCACGCGTCTTTCAATCCGTGCTCGAAGGTCGTTCGCCTGGAGGGCATACTGTGCGCGAAGTTTGCGGGCGCGCTCGGTGACTGTGGCCATGTTAGTGGGATTTAAAGATAAGCGAGATATCGAGAGAGCGCACGTTCGAGCTGCAAGTTGTCAATCAAAGCTTGCTTTTGTCTGCGGGTAATTCGAAGCTTCTTCCGAGGAGGGCTGTTCTCAGGTGTCCTTGCTTCGTCATTGTGGGACGCGTCTTCGGGAGACTTGCGTTTGGCAGTGACTGAAGTCATTGGGCGCAATCGTGAATAGGCGAGGTGGGTGGTGAGCAACAGCGATGAAAGGAGTAATAGGTGAGCTGAATTGCGTGTAATGTGTTGTGTGGAGGAGTTGGGGCGGAAGGGATGGAAGTCGAGAGACGGAGGGGAGCGCGTTGGAGTGAGTTCTGGAGGAAAGCGGATGGCGGAGAGGATAAACAAGCGCTGACTTAATTCGTGGTTAGCTCCGATCGGGACGGTGTGACATCTGCGTCCTCAGCAGCAGCAGCTCCATCATCATCCCTCCTCCGCCAACCTCCATCATCCACTTCCCCCCATCGCTTTCCTTACTCCCACGCTCAGAACATACACTTCTCAGGAATTCTTGCTTCTTTCCAAATTTGATTGATCATACACATACATTTCTAGCATCAACCCCGCCGGTCTCCTTCCAAGATGTCGCTCGAAGCTACCATGATCATGTCCGTCTAGCCACCTCATCCCAATCTCTGTGCGCACCTACTAATACCATCTACAGTGTCGACAATAGCGAAAGCAGCAGGAATGGAGATTATACGTAAGTTGCCTGTTCTGAACTACCCAGAATCGACCGCCTGGTTCCGTTTCTAACAGCTGCCAGCTCGACACGATGGCAAGCTCAGATCGACGCCGTGAGCGTCATTCACACCACTAAGATGCGCGTGCACCCTCAGTCTGCTGTCGGCCTTATGAGCATGGGTGGAAAGGGTCCCGAGGTCCTGTCGACATTTACCACCGACTTTGGTGGTATCTTGGCCGGTCTGCATCGCACGAAGATCCATGGCACTGCCCACCTCAGCTCCAGTATACAAGTGGCCGGTGTATGTTTTTCAAACAACCCCATCATCTCTTTATATAGACATTGTACTTTTTATGGGAACGATTGCTAACCAGGTGATTCGCAAAGCTTGCCCTCAAGCACCGCTCCGAGAAGTCCCAGAGACAGCGCATCATCGTGTTCTCCTGCTCCCCCATCGAAGAAGACGAGAAGACATTAGTGAAGCTGGCCAAGAAGATGAAGAAGAACAACGTTTCCATCGACGTGATTGCCTTCGGAGATCTGGAGTCCGATCAGACTAAGAAACTGGAGGCATTTGTCGAGAACGTCAAGGGTGGCGACGGCTCTAACCTCGCCATCATTCCCCCGGGCCCCAACTTGCTGAGTGAGGAGCTTCAGGTCACTCCCATCCTCGGTGGGGACAGTTCCGGTGCCGATGGTGCAGGTCCTGAAGGCGGTGATGGCGCCTTTGGATTCGAGGATGCGGCTGAGAACGACCCCGAACTGGCATTCGCCCTCCGTCTATCTCTGGAAGAGGAGAAGAACCGGCAAGAAAAGGAGAAGCGGGACCGGGAGGAGCAAGAGCGCAAAGCCAACTTGGACAACATTCCCGAGGAGGGCTCCAGCGGGAGCAAAGACAAGAAAGAGGATGGTGACAAGATGGACACTGCTTAATGTGGAGACCAGAACAACCTCCTGGATGATTTGATGCATACCCGGCGTTTTTAATGTACTTTCGTTTTCTTGCTGTAATTGTAGAAAGCGGTTGGTTCTCCGGCAACTCGCTTTTGAAACGGATGCGATCTAATATGCAGATCTATCGCCATCGTAACTTGTTGTTCCATGATACAAACTATGACGCCCAGATATCAAACATGCCCATGCATGCAACCGCAAAACCAAAAGCGAAATTATAATAACAAAGAAAAAAGTATCAATCACAACCCCACCACCACCACCACCACCACCACCACATCGAAACCTCGATAATGAAATCCACGTAGCCCAATCCCATCAATCAAGTCCTCCCCCTCAACCAACCCTGCAAATTCCGATCAAACGCCTCACACCTCACCGGCATTTCCAACTGATAGAACGGATTCTTCATAACAAAGTCCGCATACAATTCATATATCTTCTTCATAACCACCTCGATATTCGCCATTAACGGATCCGTAAACAAGAGGAACTTGGTGCCCGTCAACGTCTGAAAGCACGTTAATCGGAACTTGTCCGTTTCTAGACACTCGAGACCCGTCGCCGGTACTCCGGGGTTCGGGTACGAGTATGAAGCTGTAGAAGAGGTAGGGGTTGATGATGTGGCGGAGGGAGAAACGACATTGTTGGGGGAAGGTGTGGTCGCGGTGGTGGGTGTTGTTGCGAGTGCTGCGGCGGGGGCGAGGGGGAGCTTGGGGGTGATGGAGCGGGTGATGGCGTGGACACTGTACAATCAATAAGAAGAGATAATTAGTAGGTGACTCTTATGAGAACCTATATGTAGTAGGGAGGATGTAGCTGTTGGATTGGCTGGTGTGCGTACCCATGAAACGTGCCCGCCAGGACGAGGTAGTCGTTTGTCGAGAGCTTGCGCAGACCTGGTTGGAATTCGCGCTGGTAGACAAGCCCGCCGGCTTTGTTGATTATTATGAGGGAGAATACGGCCCTAGATGGGGATTGTTAGGAGTTGGGTTTTTGCTGGAGGGGGTTTTGGTTGCGACGTACATTGCGGAGGAGGGGGCTCGTGATGGTGATTATAGGTCGGGCGTCCGGACAAGTGTTGTTGTCCTTTTATGCAGGGCGTCAGGATGTTGGCGCATGCAGCATCACTTGGTTTTGCTTGTTGTGGATAGGTATGGTGATGGTAGAGGGGGATTGTTTGTGTGTTTGCGCATTCACATCGTAATTGTTGTTGGTGTCATCATAGCATGGGCGTCTTTGCCGGAGACATTGCGGAGTGCGCTGCTTGTTGGTTGGGTTGTCTATACTGCACCTAGTTGTTCAGGGTGGTTGTGTCTTCACCGCCCTGGAGTAGGGGGGTGCCAGCCGATAGTGTGCTTATGTTCATACATTGTTGTCGAGTTTTAGATGGCGGCATTGTTCTCGCAGCTAAACCATGTAGAAAGACATTCTGAAGTTACATTGCTCGTGAGCTTATTTTCTAGGTGTTACGGATATAGTGGTTTATCAGTACTTCTACTTCGGAAATCGAGAAACTATGCCAGTATTATCAGTAAGTCGAATTTGCAAGATCAACCTGCTATCTTAACGGATGATATCAAGCTTCCAAAACAACGCAACATACAAAAACTGGCATACATGATACTAAATCTTAACGTTCATTATCATAATAACCAGTATCTCATTCCCTCTCAAACCCAGACTCATACCCCCTCAAGGAGCCGCCACAACAGTAGAGACCTCCACCATATTCTGCAGTCCTAATTAGCCAACATCCACAACCCAAACAGCGCAACAACACAAGAACTGGATCAAACTTACCGGTCTGTTCTCAACAATATGCTCCGACGGCACCGACTTCGTCACATACTTCACGGATCCCTCCCCACCTCGTCCCCCAGCTCTCAAATACTCCAAATAATCCGGCGCTCCCGGAAAATCCGTGTTATCAGCAATAACACTCGATCCGACTCTAAAGAGGCCCAAATCCTCACACAGCTTCAAATCACTTAGGTAGAACTTCTCCCAGTGATCAAAGAAAGCCATATCGACGCCTCCCTTCACAATCTTGCCCTCCTCAACCAGCTTCGCCAATGACTCCGACGCAGGCCCCACCATCACATGCACAATGTCCTCAACGCCTGCCACGCGGATTATGTCCCTCGCTACGCTCGCCACCTCCTCGCTGAGCTCGAAGGTGTAGACGTGCAGCCCCTCGGTGGAGGGACCGTGCAGGTCGCGGAGAATGGCAGCCCATGCGACGGCGGAGCACCCGATGTAGGTGCCAAATTCGATGACAACTTTGGGTGGGTACTCCATGGATGTTAGGGCTTCTTTGGCTACGTTGAGCTTGGCTTGCTTGAAGTTCATGAGGCGTGCGGTGCGGCTGAAGAGGTCGAGGGCTTGGTACACGGCCCAGGGGTTGTTGTTTAGGGCATCGCTGGGCTGGGAGAGGATGTAGTCCCGGGCTAATTGGGCGTTGGTTTGGAGGACCTAGTGTAGAGAGGTATTAGATCGGAGGGGATTGCAGAAGGGTTGAGGCAGGCTTTGCTTGTTGTTGGGGACTTACGGTGTCTTGGGAGGCCATTGTTGTGTTTGAGGAAATAGTAGGTTGTACTGTGAAAGTAAATTCTGGGTCAGGGTATGAAGACAGATGTAGCTGTTTGGAGTAGTAGATGTTCAAATGATACACCTATGTCTGTTGATTTTAAGCATTTAGAGCACCGGTGCTGGCAGTGGGTATTTATACCATAATGCTGCTACGTTCAACGTAGAGAACCATTGTTCTACTCTGTCATCGCTACATTGCTGCGCCACTACTTCTCCGATGTTATCTCCGATTATATCATCGCCTCGGAGGGGCTCACAACTTTTGTGGATACCATCGGTCAATACATATAGCCATAGGGCTGGCTGGTGGGCTGAACGCCCCAGGCCGCGAATTTGTCGAGCCGGAGCCTAATCTGTAAGTGGTATTTAAAGCCGAGTCCCGGTCTCAAATGCCCTTTACGGATCTGAACGCCGAGTGGCTTAAAGCCGAAGTGGGCCATCAGCCCCGCCAGCAGTTGAGGATTCAACCGCATCAAACTTTTGGCTTGACATGAATATGGGTCATTCGCGTGTATGTGCTGTTCGGATGATATCATATCTCAGTGCTATTCGCTAATTCATTGTTTTGCTTGTTTTGTAGTATTCGCGCCGAGCTAGGCAAGAATCGGGGTCGTCGATGTTCAGAGTCCATGTCCGCGGAGCCGACTTCGGGTAATTCAGTCAGGCAAGTTCCAATTTGGTGTAGGTTGTGCCATGATCAAGCGGTTTTGGGAGGGTTTGTGAGACCTTCCTCATCATACTCATATCTTGACTCCAAATCCTACGTGAAAAGATCAGCATACGAGCCCGCAAGCTAGTGAGACTAAACTTACCCAATACTTGTTGAACCCAACACCCTCACAGACATCAGAGTACCCAAGTATCATAGGCGGTGCCCCAGTCATTAGACTGCGCTTTAATCCATCCAAAGCCTCCCGAATGCCCTTAAGCCTTGCAGCTACCAGTGTCCAGGGGTATGCGACAGCTGCAAACCCTAACTCTGCTAGCTCCTTAGCAGATAAGTTCTCCGATTTTCCACCCTCAATTATATTAGCAAGCAAAGGGATATCCAGTTCCTCTGCACACCTTCTCATGGCTTCTCTGTCAGGTAACGCCTCAACAAAGACGCCATCTGCTCCTATGCGCTTGAACTCTTTCGCCCGAGTCATCGCTTCGTCCCACCCGTGGATCAATGAATCCGTCCTTGCTAAGATGAATATATCCCGTCCCTGATTACGTGCATCAACAGCAGCCTGTATCCTCGCATAGGCTTCGCCTCGAGATACAACTGATTTACCCTTTGTATGGCCGCATCCTGTACAGAGATTCCGTCAGACTTGACCCAGTCTATCACGAAGACGCATCTTCAAAGAACCAATACATACTCTTCGGCCATGTCTGATCCTCGATCATCACGCCCGCTGCACCCGCCGCAGCAAAACACTCCACAGTGCGTCGCACATTCATAGGACTCCCGTACCCGGTGTCTCCATCCACCATGATTGGTATACTCGTCACACGAACTATTTCCTGGATCCGGGCGGACATTTCTCCCATGGCAATGTACCCGGTATCAGGGAGTCCATGGGAGGCTGCCACAGCGAATCCGGAAATAAATATCATAGGGAAGCCGGCTTCTTCTATCAATCGCGCAGAAAGGCCGTCGTAGCCACAGGGGTGGGCTATGATTTTGGTAGGATCTCGGTGAGCTTCTAGCCACATTGTACGTAGACGAGAGGTCTGTGCAGATGGGATATTGCCGCGGACATTCTCGAGTGTCAATGTGGTGGTATTATTTTGTGTTTCGATGTGATCGGAGGTGTCGAATTGGAACGGGTATGGAGCGGGGTTTTGCGAAGCCATGTTGGAATAGAGATTGAGTTAGGCTGCTTGAAAGGCCTTCAGGATCTAATGTGTGCTAAGAGGGATGATCTTCACGGATAGTATGATTTGAATTTACTGCAGAATGTTGGTTAAGTGGTGGCCGAGTAGTTATGTGCAAGTAGATAGCCGGGAGACTGGAACCCACCCCGCGTTGACGTTGAAACCCCCGCACGCGTCATAGCCTGCCCGTCGGAGTATTCGATGGCTGGTTTCTGCCAACAGTCAACACGTACCCAGTCTTCACCACATGGGATATCAAAGCAGTAACGGCACAGATCTGGACTGCAATTGATGAGATTTCCGTGGAAATATTCTTCTGTGTATCACGAATACGCTCTTACAATTTACTAGCGAGACTATTCTCTTAACCCAATGTCCAAAAGCAAGCCAGGGTTTGACCAGCATTGATGGGCTAGCTACACTACCGCTAAAATAAAGCTTCTATGACTACCCGTGTCTAGGCAACAATCCGATCCTATCTGTTTTCGGTACAACTATCTGCTCCTCTGGAAGAAGATGTCTAAGCCCTGTTGGATCCAACGGCAAATTCAATGGCTGTCAGAAATATATTGGCCACCGCTGCGCCCCAGAATAGCAATTGGGAAGATCGGCATTGTTCTCGACACGAGCCTATAAATCTGTGACATCACTATCATCGCGCTGCTCGGTACCGGTCCCAAAGAAAGTCCCGGGCGTCTAAACAAGAGCACGGAGTATACACCCAGCGAGGGCCGGAAATAGAAATAACAATAAAAAAAAAAGTGCACAAAGAAAGAAAGGGCACTCCTTACAGAAGAAGGATGAAGCGCGCGCATCAGTCTGGACAACTGTTTACGTACTGCGAGCCAACGCGGATACAATCCGACCACATGGCACGAGGATTCCAGAACCCTGTTCAGCTGTTATCTTCAAAACAAGAGGGAACGCAAGGAAGCAAACAAATTCCACGAGCGACTCAAGATGCATTACGACCTGATTACATACACTAGTCTAACGCTAGAACGGTCCCCGGTTATTCCAACTTACAGATTACAACTGAAAACAGTCTGTCGATGCTCTCCATTCAGTCCAGATGAAGGTGCATGCAGCTGACCCGCCGATCTGTATGCGAACTAAAATCTCACCCACCAGCCAGTCCCAGCTGAATTCTGATACACTAGTCTAGCTCGGCCGGCCGGCGGATAGGTTCTGGGCGGCCGATACATACACTTAGACGCACAGAGGGAGGTCCATTCAGATACGTACGTGTTCGTAAGTGGATATTATGTTTGCCGATCATCTCGGTGATTTTCTTACTGTGTCCGGAGTACCTCCAGGGCTAATGCATTGCATTACACTATCGGGCGCATCTCTAGAACCGGTATACATGCCTACCGAGCATATCAGGAATGCGCCATGGGCCTGCACGATCGACGACCGAAACCCACGAAGGTGTCAGCATGTATCTAGGACGAACTATCGTTTCAGGTAGGAGGCCCGTGGCATGATCCTGTGTACCCGTCCATCTGGGATTGAAGGAATAGGATTGGACTAGACGGAAAGAAGGAAGGAAGAGAGAAAGGGGTCAGCTATGTACATCAGTCAGTTCAGTATACTTACCAGACGGGCAACTCTTGTTATGGGGGGCCGGGGGGTACCCGTGCCACGTGGAACGTTTCACTCCCTTTCGGGACCATATTCTTGTGGATTTGCAGTTATCTGGAAATGGGGGGCTATGCTGAAATGCACGGGACGATGCTAGTTTAGTGTCTGGGAATGATTGGTGAGGGGTTCTCTGGAAATGTGAGGCGAGCTGAATCGGTTGGACGATCTAATCGTCGCTGCGGCTGAGGATAAATTACTCACTTCCGTGTTCATCTGCGGAGTACCTATCGAGTATTATCTTATGGGAGGAGGCTTACTCTCTGGGTACTAAGTACTAAGTACTGCAGCGTACCCAGCGTACCTGCCAAATTGAGAACATTCGAATCGATGTCCTTTCTCTTTTTTCTATGTAATTAGAGAGCATCTTCAGATCATCCTACAAATTGAACAGCTTCTTCTGCTTTGCTTTCGTCTTTTTTTCTTTGGTTGCTTAGAAATAGAGCCGTTTGCTCCGGCACGGAGCAAGTACTATTATTTCATGCAGTATAATGGTAGTAATGAATATGTATCATCGCATTCTCTATTCGTCATAAACTCCTCATGCTAGAATAAGGCCGAAAACCAAAACCATGTAGCTCAGCAGTCCCTTGCTCCTTTCTCTCGATATGTATGGGGTATTGTGCAAAACCAGGGTTAACCTCAAAAGGGTCCAATAAACGTGACATAAACATAGTGAATACAGGATATCAGTCATCAATCATCATCTCAGTCAGTCCGCGCACATAGATGTGCAAAATCCATAACCAGACCGAAAGTATTAAAAAGGAAGTAGCAGAATAAAACAAAAGAAATTGAAACGGAATAAAAATAAAAATGAAGCCCAGAACCAGGAAATAAAAGGCTAGAGAAGAAGAAGAGGAAGGTGGGGAGGGGCAGCAGTTGGAACTTTGCGGGGAGGCAGTAGTAGCCTTGACTTCACTTCTCGCAAAGGCCGACCAACTTCCACTGCCCATCGACTGGCCGAATGATGTCCTCTTCAATTGCCCATTGGCGCAAGAAAGTATCTTCGGCTTCATATTGCGCGTCACCTTTCTCGTAGTGACGACCAACATGCTCCATTCGATCATTCCATTCGAGGAAATGCTGTCCACAGAAGCCACAGGCGCTCTGGGTAGGTGGCTTGCGTTGCTCATGCCAGCAGCGAGTCCGAACCGCTTCAAGAGTCTGCTCGAAATCATCGCGCTCTTTCTCGGTTTCAGGCTTTTTGCTGTTGCGCCCGACCCAGGGAGCATGCATACGACGCTGGTGTTGAGTGAAGAGATCCTTTCGGTTGAAGTCGTTAACGAGATGCGTCTCGTTAAAAGATGCACAACTATTGTTCGCGTCCTGACCCTTATTCTTGCTGAGGTTGTCCAGACTGCAGCGTCCGACATCACAACGGTAGAATCCAGGTTGGATGTGCTGCGAGGTCACATGGCGCTTCCACTCGTTCTTCGAAACGAAGGTACTCTGGCATCCATAGTGGGAGAAACTGCAGATGAACACCCGGCTGGTCTTTGTACCATCCTTCTTACCGCTGGTCTTGGTAGAGGCCCGAGCTGCAGAGGTAGGTCTTGCTTTGGTGGACGTTTTGCGAGGTCGCTTCTTGCTGATGCGGCCTGTGTTCCTGCTAGATAGCTTCGGCGTCTTGAACTGGTTACTGGAAGAGCTGCAGGCTTCTTGCTGACTTGTGGTCTCTGCGTATTGGCCACTCTTGGTGTCACAAGCAGTGTCAAATTCATCGTGTTGAGGAGGGCTGTTATAGCAAAAGGTTCCGCCCATAAAATGCTCCGAGTTTGTCTCAAGTTTGACGATAG